GTTGACAGTCCAAATTACTTGTGTGGTGCATTAAATTAATTTAGAAAGTGGACACAAAAACAGGTTCTGGTACTGCATAGAAATGAATTGTACTGGCACACTCGATAAGTTATTAGTAGTAGTAAGGAGTTATTAGTAGTAGCTCAGCAGCGTATGCCTTTGACCTGTGTTTTAAATCTGAGTGGTTTTGAAGCTATGTGCTGATGTCTCCTTGTGTACGCGCGTCTTTTGTGTCTGCAGTGTAGTGTGCATTTAAAGCCTCCTCCTCGGCAGACCCTGCCTTTGATTGACAGGTGCTTCCTGCATGACCCTGCTCTTTTTGAGAGGAGAGGAGTTGGGGGAGTGTGTGTGTGGGTGGATGCTAAGTTGAAAGAGTGTGGGATGTGATTGTGAAACAGAGAAAAGTATAGAAGGATAAGGGAAAAACACAGAAAACATCAGACAGCCCTTGAATAAGCACTTCCTGTTCCAATTTGTATTTTAATCTGTGTTGCCTTGTTATTTTTCTCTTTACATTCAAAAACATGTGTGAAAGGGCAGTTGGAGCTGTGGGTGGTGAATTATCTTTATTCTGGTCTAATGCAATCCAATTTTCTGAGTTCACTCTTGTTAATTGTGTTTTGCTTCTTCTAGAACATCAGGGTCTGTGTTTGAAACAAGTGGTTTTACATTCATGTGGCATCTCTTCAGATGTGTTTTCACATATTTTATTGTAAAAATCAGGCTTAGTCAGTCGAAAGGAGTAATACAAGTCTCTCAAGTGCCCAAACCTTAAGTGAATATGTTCATTGGAGTTAGGGTTGGGCATCATTTTGATCTGATTGGGCATCTAATTCCAGCTCCAGCTCTCCTTGATTCTCAGCTAAGGTGAATGGAGTTTCACGCAGTCTTCAGTTTAACATTAGCAGCAGTAGGTCTGCTACTAGCGTTAGCAATTTGCATTCATTTATCTACAAGAAAAAAAGACATTACAGTAACGTTGCTGGTCACCACAATTTAGTAACCAGCAATTTGATCAAACAACTTGCACTTACACTACAATTTAATTTACCCGATTGCGATGAGGGTACTAGTTAGCTCAGGGTGGACAGGGAGACCGGAGAGGCATGTCGAACAAGATACACTTCTGTTGATTTGTACACCCTGCAGGTGTAAGTTAGGGGTTTGTCTGGTGCTAGAAATTAGTTTTTCACTGTACATTTATTCATACCGGACTGTTTCGGTACAGGACTTTCAGAACGGTGCACATGTGCACCGAATACAAAAGTTAAATATTTTAGGCTTGTTTTGTGTGGAACATTTGTAAATTCCACACGGACATATTAAGTGGCGGACCACATCTCCGCCTTATGGCACTACACAAGCAGCACGCTTTCATGGCCAGTGCAGAGAAGGCAGAGCTTGAAAACCCTCCCTTATTGTCTGAAAGTTTGTTTAATAAATTTTAAACTAATTTGGATGTTTACAAAAGTTCATAATAAACCAGCAGCAATTTAATGTTTGCATTTTTTCCCCTTACTGTACTGAAAATAAACCGAACCATGACTTCAAAACCGAGGTACATACCGAACCGTGATTTTTGTGTACTGTTACACCCCTAGTATGGAGTGTACATTGCGTGCACACACAGGACTGTGGGTGTTTGTGTTGACGTTGTTAAAGGTCTAAAATGAGTATTTGTAAAAAGATTATCATCATAGCTATAAGATCATAATAATTGAAACAAAGAAAGAAGAAAACAAAAGACAAGTTGAACTTATATGATGAGCCTTGGAGAAGAACATCCAGCGATCCAGCACCATCTTGTGAAATAGTGAAAGCAGCTCATGAATTTGGGCATTTCTTAGCTTAAGTGTCGTGTTGACAAAAAAGTTCAGTTTTTACTGGACATGACCTTTTTATTTTTGGCATAGACCTAATATTTGGCCAGATATCAGCTTGTTATCAGGTCTTTCTGGTAAAAACAATCGTTAACTTGTGGCTGTTATGTTAAAATAATTCCTGTCATTCTACTACTAATGAATTATTCTGTGCATGAACACAAGGCTATTGACTTCCAATCCAAATCCAAAGAGAGAGGATCTCTGTCCTTTCCAAAACTCTACTCAAGAGGGTGTCACCCCTGCATAATAGTACTGCAAAAAATATTTGAGCTGCACTTGATGCTTATCTGGTAGGGGTCTAATAGTAAGTAAGTTTGCTGTTCAATATCTACGTTTTTGTCATTTAGTTTGAAAAATCTAAACATTCATCAGGGCCATAATTCCTACTAGTCAATGCACTGAAATACTGCCATATTGTTAATAAGAAAAAATAAAAAACACAAATGTCATTAATGCTCCATTTTAAGACTCTGAGCTGTTGGTAATTCCTGAACTGCAACTTGCGCTCGTTTATACCGGTCAGGCACCACGGACTGACTAAAATGCACACATTAAGACACGTTATAGCGTAGCTCAACCACTTTGACCATATGCTTAAATTCTGTATTCTCTACAGCTGAGTATGGTTGCATATCTGCTTTATTAACACTTTATTTATATTATTTATTGCTGCCTGAAGGCTGTGGGGAAGAGGGCTGTCCTTCCAGTCTGGTTTTGTTTCATACCACTAATTGACACATTTAGGTGATGCCATCCTAAATGTGATGTGTGAAGTGTTTCCACAGACATACGCGACTTCAGTTGAACAGTGTCGGCACACAGTTTGACACTGTTTGTGCCCCATTTTTGCTGTATCCAACCCAGGAAACTGTAATGCTCTCACACGGTGGATCTAAATGTCGCTGGAGGATCCTTCAGCTCTGGCCTCTCATTTGTGTTCGGAGGCAGAGGTTCTCTTTGGGATTTCTGCGCTCCTCATTAACATTAACATAAAGTTGAATCCAGACAGAATCCAGATTAAAATAATTTCTGCCACGTTTACAAGAGTAAAGAAGCTAGTCCACTGTTCTGCTACCAGGACTGAATCCTGATTGCTCCTCCTGAATGTGAGGCTCCATAAAAGCTTTCCCTTTTGTGTGTTTACCCTAAACAAAGCGAAATTCGACAAATGTTGTTATTTGTGTGCTTGACCAAACAACGTGTAGGTAGGCTGACCTTTACTTCACGAAGATACAGTGTAGATTCTCAACCAGGAGCTCCACGGCCACATGCTCTTTGTCAGGTGCAGTGTTGTTACAATTTATAAGGAGTTTTTTCACTTTCAGCTACCCTATTCAAAAATACCTACATGTCACTTTTAGTACTTCACGAACCAAGTATGTTAATTTGGCATAAAACAGAGCCACCAGAAGAGGTCTGGTGACCTGCCAGAGGCTGGCAGAACAGTAATACTCAAGATGAATACAAAATATATCAGCATTTATCTCGGTCTGGAGGATATTTTCCACTCAGGATTGAAAAGTGTGTCACAGATGAAGCAGGGGAATTATTAAAATAACATTCTTTATGCTACGTTGAATAAAACATTTCATTTTGTGCACATGCATCGTTAACTGCCAAATAAAACGCCCCAGAGAAAGTCTGTGTCATTACGAACGCGTTAAGTGTTGCTGATGCTGCATGTTAGTGTTGTTATGGATATCGTAAAACATTTGGAAAGTACAGTATCTATCGCAGCAAAATGCCAGTGCTGAGTCCTAAAAAAAACACTGAATAACAGACACACGGACTTGCTATTGCATAATTGTACTAGAGGCTCTTTGGTTGGCTCATCAGCAGTAAATTATTTTGTCCCACCAAACTGACATATTAACATAACCTTAGAATAACAGTTTCAAAATTATTTCAACTCATTTATGAATTAATTTTGTTCCCAAACTTGACTAAATCACTACAAATCAGTGGCAAGCCGCCTCTCTCTGCTTATTAAAAGTAGTTTCATACAAATTAGTTCTAAGTCACTGTGTTTAAATATACAAAGTCACTCACATGTAGATTCAGTCATGAACACACACGGCAGCACACTCTGCCCTCAGCAATGTCTCCAAGGTTGTTCTTCAGGTTTGCGCTCTATCTGTGACAAAAGATGAATAATTAATCGCTTCAATTGCTGCTCCATCTTTCTCATTCCCCATCTTTGCATATCCCTCCATTTACCTACAGGCATGTAAATCACTTAAAAAAGAAATCTCTTTAGATGAGACACAAAGCATCTGCTCAGATATAGATTATGATTACACAGAGCTGAAGAGATAGTTACATGTAGAGGGTGAGGAATATTCCAGTTTTACCCAGTGATCAGAGCTAAATAAACCTCCTTTTCATCCAAGATGGCTTCACCAACTAGACTTTTGAAATCATAATACTGCAATATGAGCTCCAAAGGAAAGACTGAATGTCCTTCCTAAAATTGGGGAATTTTAGCGCCCATCTGCCTAATTTGTTCAGTTCACAGTAACTCTGAATACCTGCACAACCATCAAAAAGCTAACCACGGCCAAGTTATAAAGTAGATTTGCTTTTTCAATCAATTTCAGAAAGAGTCATATTTTATAGGTCAGTGAACTTGCCTCTGAAATAGACCAAAGTGCCATTGAAAGTTAGATAAAGTGGGCTCAAAACTCCCCCTGGAGAAAATAGGTTATTTTCTTAGTCGGGTCATAATGAGTGCTGGCTGCGTCCCATCCTCTCTGGTGTCCTGCAAATTAGGACAGCCATGAAAGCTGTGTAAACTTTCGAGGGGACGATTGGGGACACTGAAATGTGAGCACATCAGGGAAAGGAAAAACAAAACAGGAAATGAGAGGAAGCTTGCTGCCAATATATTGTGGGTTTAGAAAAGAAAAAAACACTCAGGACTCCGATAGATGCTTTTGATGCCATATGTTGGGCTCTGCCAATGACTTTGAGGCAAAGTCAAAAAATGAATAATTCCTTTTGGCTTTCTCCTTTGTCTGTTCTCACATTTTTCTTCTTTCTCTACCTCTGTCACAATCTGTCCCGTTGTGTCCCTCCATAAGGCTCTTTAACGCTTTTCTTTTCCCTCCCTGTCTCTAGATCACACCTCAGTTGGAGGATTAGGGGATAGTTTCTACGAGTACCTGCTGAAGGCATGGCTCATGTCAGACAAGACTGATACAGAAGCTCGCAAGACATATGATGACGCCATTGAGGTACAGTGTACAATATATTCAGACACATTATTTTCACAGATGCCAGCTGTTGACCTTATTTAAAAAAAACATTACTTTCTAAACTGATGTCCTCCATTAGAAGTCAACATTATTTGATTTGTTAACAAATAACAGGAAGAATTTTAATGTCCTTTAGAGAGGATTGCCACAAACATGTCTTTATATTTACTGCTTGTTAATTAGGTAGGACAACATTTAATCTGTTTTTGTTTACATTACTTTTTTATTTAAGCACAAAATTAAATAAAAAGATTAAACTGGGCCCAGTTAGTATCATTGGACCGCATAGCCACAAAGCTGTCCGTTTCAAATCTGTAGTCCCAGTCCAACGTGCACCACCTATTGGCAAGAACAGTAACATGTCTAACTGTAACAGTTATTATTTTTTAATAGCCAACATTGATTTAAAAACATTAACCTCACTCCCTGCTGACAATTTTCAATGGCCATCTTTAAAAAAAGAGAGATGTCATTTCTATTTCTTTTTTTTTAGCAAGAAGCAGGTGTTAATGATCTGTAGCTGATGAAGATGTCTGTCAGTCACTAAGCGTGTCACAGAGTGAGCAGAAAAGATGCAACAGAGCAGAGTTTGAGGGATGTGGCTGGATTTTATATTCTGCACTCACCACTTTTGTTCTGTTTTCTTCTGTTTGATCCTCCCCACCCTCAAACACATGCACTCAATGTCAATGCTCCATTCACACAATTTAACCCCATTAATACATTCACACACACACTTAATATTCCATTCATAACCTCCATCTACATTCACACTTTAATAAATACTGTCATTCCCCCTTACTACCTGCATACAAATACACTTACACACACATGTACACTTTGGTCCACATCCTCACTAAAACATTCTGCTTCATTCTACTTATTATGTCCACACTTTCCTCTAAATTCATAAATTTCATATATCCTGATCTCACACACACGCACACGCACACACACACACACACTCCCCCCAGGCCATCGAACGCCACCTGATACGTAAATCCAACGGCGGTCTGACATTCATTGGTGAGTGGAAGAATGGCCACCTGGAGAGGAAGATGGGCCACCTGGCCTGCTTCGCTGGCGGCATGTTTGCGTTGGGCGCTGATGGCTCACCTGACGACAAGGCCGGACACTATCTGCAGCTGGGAGCTGAGATCGCACACACCTGCCACGAGTCCTACGACAGGACGGGTGAGGAGGGCGAGGGGGGCTGCATACACAAATACACAGACACACGTACTTATAGTGTGAATAACACAGGCATAATGGCACAGAACAGATTTGTCTGTAAAGTAATATGTTTTGAAATAACTATTAATTCTAACAACCTGATTACGGTGGTGTTTCTTATGTTTAATCAATCAATCATTGCTATCATGGTCAGTAGATGCACACATATGACCTCAAAATGAACTAGTGATTCAATGTCAAACCAGACTTTTCAATTTTTATTTGATTTATTGTCTTAAACACACCCGAAATTAATCTGTGGAGCAGGATCACAAGTAACAAAATACTGTTAAGGGAGACCTATTATGCTGCTTTTCCAGTCCTATATTGTAGTAGACTCCTGTATGGCAGCTTTGCATGATTCAAAGTAAAAAAAAAAAAAATATTAAAGCTGCAAGCAGCGTTGAGTGGGCCCTTGGGGTGTGACGCCGCTGCGCAGCAGCAGCCTGAGGTCGGGAGACGAGACCTGAATTGTTGTGCCTTTTGAAGATGTCACAAAAGAGTTAAACGTCACTTACTGTGTCCCATGGGTGGCGCAAGACAACACTCGCTAATTATATGTTGTGCAGCAGTAGGTGAAGTGTGGACCACGCTGTGAAAATGATTTTTGTCAGAAACGACTTGCTTCCTATTACCAGTGGGCGGCGCTATGATGTTGAGTGAATATTTTCATAGAGATATGTTCAGGACGGGACTGTTATCAACCATGTAAAGTTTGGTAGAGGTCTGAGCATGTACACAGAAGTTATAGTAACTTCCTCTTTTGTAGCGAACCGTTGATCTTTGACGTCAATGCCTTTAGAATGCAAGGTAGAAAAATTGATGTCGATCCCATCAATTCCCTAGGAGGAGTTCATTAAAGTATGAACCTTGTAAAAGGCCATAAATGGGCTGAAATTGCACATTAACATCAAAATGACTGACATCCTGTTGGGTTTTAGGTATGGCTTCAAGAGTTTTTTTTTTTTTATTTAGTGCATCTTGGGAATGATACATGTACCACAAAGGTTTCTTGGTGATTCAGTGCGCAGGGGCTACTTCGTTGAAGGGACACTTCCTGATGCCAGCAGGTGGCGGTATGAGGTTGAGTGAATTTTGACCTGTAGGTGTATTCAGGGCGTGACCCTAATGAGATGTGTGAAATCTGGTAGAGATATGACCATGTACAGGGAAGTTACAAAAACTTCCTGTGTCATGGCGAAGCAACGAACTATGACAACACGCTGTTATCCAACAACTGACAAGATTCACTACATAGCATCATCAGTGTCTTAAGGCTCATCTGTAGGGATGGGGATCGTTAATTTTTATTGATATTGATACCCTTATTGAGACTGCTAAACGATCCGATTCTTTATCGATACCACTATTGATACTTTACTATTATTTAGTGATGGATATTGACCAGACCCAATGGGCATGAGGTAGGCCTGAGGAAAATGTGTGATAACGTTATATATTGAGATGACATATCACTTGTGATAAATAAACATATTGAAGTGTTCATATTAACTGCCTTGTTCTTTTTAATTTAATATTTTAAATACAACTAAATGTTGTTTCTAGATCAGCAACATTAATGTTTACAACAGCAAAGTAACTCAATAACTTTATCTGACATCACAAGTTGTGAGTGACGTTTAGAAAGAATAACATCAGCCTGTATCAGTCCCTCCTCCTCTCTCGCTTCAGCTTTCTATCTAGCTTGTTTTTAACATTTGGCTAATGCCAAGCTAGCATTAGCTGTGCTTGTATAAAACATACAGGATGAGATACTGAGGACAGAGATGATTAAATTAACCATTTCTACATGTTTTAACGTTACCTTACAGACAGGTGTATTGATGAAGTATTGTCTTTTTACTTGCGAAGGTTTTATTGCACGTACTTACAGTAACGAGCATTGCTGTTCTCAATTAACATTACTGTAGTAGTGAGCTAACTTAACCCTCACCGTATTCCACTGCGACGGCGCAGCCTCTCGCTCTGCTGCTGCTGTATGTGTGTGTGTGTGTGTTTGAAGGAGTTGACAGAGAGCAGGCATGTTGAGCCATTTTGCCATGCCCATGTGTGAGACCCTTAAAATACGCAGTTTTTCGCCGCGCCTGATGTGTGTGCAAAGTTTGGTGAGTTTTTGAGAACGATTCATTTGGGAGAAAGAAAGAATAAGAATAATAATAATCCTTACAATTTCAATAGGGTCCTCGTATGTTTTATGCTTGGGCCTTAAATTCTCTTATACTGTCCCTTCATGTTGGCCCTCATTTCAGCCTGTGTCTGAAACAAGCTGTATATGCTCCTATCTCTTTTGTTTTAGCTATGGAGTGATACATCTTGTCTCTACAAGATCTTTGTTGGGAGTTGCACATGCGCAGCTCCTAGTTAAGGACTACTAGCCAATCAGAAGCAGAGAAGGGCAGGTCAGTGAGAATCCGGTAAACACGACTTCGGTTCAGCTGTACATTTTGCTGACCAGCTTAGCAACATAGACTGGAGCAAGAGTTTTAGAGTGGTGAGTTATTAATCTGTAACAAAAGTATCTTTCATCCATAAAGTTTTAACTGAGTTTCTGTCTCTACATCACAGTAACAACTTTCATTGACTGCCTGGAGGGTAGCTAGTGTTTGGAAGGGAGAGGAGAGGTGTGCTGCAGCTCAGTGTTTTTCCACTGGTGTTTTTGAGGGCCTGTCGGAGTAGCCACTTGGCGAGCGTTATATGACGCGCATTTCCCTGAAGGGAAAAGGCTGGACTACAAACAAGCTGTTTTCAGGCAGTTCAGAGCAGAGTTTTTGAGAGATGTGAAGTCTCTTTGGGCTGGACTTTGGGCTTTTATTGACTTATATATATATAACTGTATAACACAATAAAGGAGAGGGAAAAAGCCAAAATGCATAATACCACCTCTTTAACATGAACATCCAACATTGTAACATTGTAGAGTCATAAAATGTGGAAAAGCATAATAGGTCTCCTTTAACTACCTAAAAGACAATACATTTCTTGTATCTGTTTTAGTTCTTTTGACTGGTAGAGTAGTTTTGGGCAAAGTTACTTTTTCCCTTGCTGGAAGTGTAAATGTATCATCCAGTAGAAGGAGACCTTTCAAAATACCTGCTTGGTGTGTGTGTGTGGGTGTGTGTGTGTGTGTGTGCGCATTGTCAGAAATCGTGAGGTTGCTCTGAGAAAGAGGAGAGGTTGCCGTGGTAACAAATGAAGATGCAGAGAGAGTGCGAGAGGCAGAGCGGGAGAGGGAAAGAGAGAACTTTCTGGTTAAGTGGCAGGGATGCAACGCTGGCTAAAGTTGCTCTGTTAGGCAACCATTGAGTGTGTGTGTGTGTTTTAATCCTTTCAGGCACAGTCTTGTCACCGCCTCTTCAGCTTCTCAGTAATTTTCCACAGTCAGACTCTGAATACCTATCACACTTAATTGGTAGAAAACACTCGTAAAAAGAAGATGAAAACCGTGTGAAATCAATGGCGTTGGAGGCTTTTTATTGCTTTATCTCACACACACACACACAGGCATTAATTTATATCAGCTCTGACCTGTAAACACCAGCAGCTGAACCATAAAGACAAACAAGGACCAAAATATAATGTTTATCTCCTGTTCCTCTCTTAATCATACTTTCCCTCCGCTCTGTCTTTGTCTCGCCAATCACTTTCATTTCCCTCCAACTCTCCTCCCCCATCTCACCCGTCCTCCTGTTCCTGTTTAACATCTCTCGCTCTTGTATGTTCGTCTTTCTTTCCTCATCTTTAATTCCCTCTTTGACAGTCTTCCTTTCTATTCTTTTTATTTGTCATTTTTCTGTTTCCCCACTTCCTCTGTCCTATTTTTTTGTTCCATCTTCTATGTCACCTCTTCTCCCCTCTATCTCTCATTATTTCTCCTCCTCTGCTCTTTTTGACCTCCACTTTTTTCTTCTTCCCTCAAGTGTTGAAGCTCGGCCCGGAGGCCTTTAAGTTCGACAGCGGCCTGGAGGCGGTGGCTGTACGGCAGAATGAGAAGTACTACATCCTGCGACCGGAGGTCATCGAGACCTACTGGTACATGTGGAGGTTCACCCACGATCCCAAATATCGGCAGTGGGGCTGGGAGGCAGCACAGGTAAATACCATACATGTGTAGAGCTTTTAAATCCAAGACATCTGTTGGATTTACTTTGAAGCACAAAACATGAGCAGCATGACACTCCATTCCCCCAAACGAAAAGGAGCCAAAGCTTTCAGAGTTGCCAGCAGTGTTAAATGGAGGACAGCTATGAAACAGGGAACGTCTGAAAGAAAGGTTCTCTCATGAGCTCCTGATCTAATGTCTTGCTCTTGAAAATAGATGCACACAGAGCATCACAGAGAAGGGAGAGGGGTTACAAATAGTAAAAGCCAGTTGATTTTTAAATAAAAATCTGCAGGTATGATGAGAAGTCTTTTAAAAAGTAGTATTTTTCACGTCACCTGCAAGAGTTTGACAGCTGGGTAATTTGTGTTTAGTAATGCGAGTAAACACAACCCACGAATATTCGTCCTTAATCCAGTTTACAGCAGTATGGACCCTAAATAAATATTTTGTTGTGATTTAATTGCAATAAACGGATCAAAAGGATGCCAAAATAACTACATAATGATAATAATTTACTCTTAGCTCCTCCCACTGGTAAACGGCTCCAGATCAGAGCAAAATTCGGTGCGACTCCGGGTGTTTATTCACCCCTCCCGAATTTGCATCTTTGCCTTGATTTTGTATGTAATCACAGCGCGAAAACATTTTGCTCCGCTTTCTCTGTGAACACACAGTAAGGATCTAGTTTTTAAAGGCCCAATGAGGTCCACAGCAGAGAGTACATTTGTGATGATTACCTAGATGAATGGGACAGGAAAGTACCGTCACTGAATTCAGCTAATCACTAAATATCAGAAACACTCATCAGTTACATGATCACCACCAGCTGGTCTTAATGTAGGTTTCCCTTTTGCTGCCAAAACAGCCCTGACCCCTCGAGGCATGGACTCCACTGTTTATTGTATTGCATCCACAATTTGACCTGCAGTAGCTCATCTGTTGGATCAGACAACACAGCCCATCCTTCGCTCCCCACATGCATCAGTGAGCCTTGGCCGTCCATGACGCTGTCGCTAATTCACGATAGGTACTGACCACTGCAGACCGTTATGGAGATGCTCTGACTAGAGCCCAACCGATTTATTGTTTTGCAGATATTATCGGCCGATATAAGCTACTGGCAGATACATCTGCGGCGGCGTTTATAACAGCCGATATATGACTATTAAAAAAGAGAAACGGAAAGGCGGATTCATGTCATGAGTGTTGCATAGTTTGCCCAACAGAGCACGTGCTGCAGCTCCTCTGTTCAAAACACTGCACCACCACAGAACAACACATCAGCTGAGCTCAGAGCCAGTGTGCTGTCGATTGCGCTACGGTAGCATTTTTCGACAAGGCAGCATAGATCGTCAGAACACCGGTCCTCTCATTTTTCTCTAATTTATTCTAAATATTTTCTGTCGCCAACAGCAGATAACGCTGCCTGTTGCTAAATTAGCCACAAAGCTAATGCCGTGTTTATCAGTGGAGGAGGCTAATATTAATTAGCTATTAAACTGTAGTGTCTCTAGTTATAGTCAGCGTGTCAGAAATTATTAAACCAGAGGGTACTTGAGAATAAACTTGAGCTGAACAAGTATCTAACACACAGTTGCAGGTCCTCGTAGACAGTCATGTAGTATTAGATTAATTCAAGGGCAGCGTTTCCTCTGCATCACTGTATCATCGCCAGAAGTGACATGAGAAATCGTTCCTGCAACGTTGGATAGAATTAACAGAGTGCAGGTAATAAACTAGATGTAGAAAGTAGAGCTGGGTGTTTTATATCGGTATAATGAGGTATACAGATATAATTTCAAAAGAGATTGGACAATACCGTTTATACCGATATAGTTTGATGTTGAGTTAATTAATATGTTTCTGTAAAGTCCTGCCCGCGTTTGCTCCTCTCTCTCCCTCACCTTACAGCAATGCCCCTCCCTCTGCGTCTGCGCACAGCCGCCTACTCACAAACATGGATGGAGACTCAGTCGACACTGCTGAAGACCTGGCTTGTAAAAAAAAATAATAATAAATTGTGACACTTTATAGCATTTATCAGAGAAACATCCAGTTATTATGTCACGTTAGTCGTGAGACGTTGGATCTTAAGAGCGATAAGAGCGGACCTGGTAACTTTGACAAGCAACAGCAAACACACCAGTCAGATGCCATTCCTTTGCTACCACGTTGGTTTTGTTTTGATAAGCTACAATCATCAACTTCTCAACATGCGTTGCACCTGCTGCTGTGAACAGAATCGCGGGAGGAAAAGTCCAGAAGACAAGTTCTTTTCTTTGGTGACTTTATATAGCGTAGCCTACTACTGAGTACCGGAGTAGACTTAACAGGGAGAGAGAGATGGAAAGAAGTGGGGCACACTGACATGTTTGCAGCAGAGCTACGTTAGGTCTCTGAGTGTGAAGAGAACTGAAGGAGACAGATTGAGTGAGTGACGCTTAAATAAGGTGGAGAATGAAGTACTATTGCATGACAAAAAATGTACATATATAATTATTTGCCTATGTAGGAGAGCCCTGTTTATCGTTATTATGATAGCAAGACATGAGAGATGATATATGGTATGATAAAATAGAAGTAGCACTATATTGGTATTTGTTTCGCTAGCCCCCACAATACATACACTATTTAATTTAATGTTCATTAGTAGTAGTACTCAATAATTTATGATAAATCAAATATTTTAAAAAATGTTTTTGTAGTTTTATACATTTGACTCTTATTTATCAAAACTTCAATATATTTGGTTTTACTTTAGTTCAAAGTACTATTTCTAACAACAACAAAGTTTATTTTTAAATCATGTCGTAGTATCTTTGTGGGGTGACAACTTAACAAATGTTAGGGATAATCTTTGTTTATGTTATGCGTTTGTTAAATAAGGGGGGGGAAGAACATTGGCAGATATATTTGCTGTCGGATTTTAAAATCTTCAAATATCGAAATCGGTATCGGAAAATCCCATATCAGTCGGGCTCTAGCTCTGACCCAGTCATCTAGCCGTTACAATTTGGCTCGTGTCAAAGTTGCTCAAATCCTTGCGGTTGTCCATTTTTACTTCTTCTAACACTTTAAATTTGAGGTCAAGATGCTTACTTGCTGCCTAATATATCCCACCGACTGACAGGTGCCATGATGATGGGAAAATCAGTGTTCACCCATCAGTGGTCATCGGTGATCGTATATATTCAGAATGCTTAATGGCATGAGATGATGAATTTAAAGCACAGTTATGCAATAAATAAAATGAAAGAGTCTCAGCAGGTGGCACCAATGGTAGGTTTCTGCCATGCAAACCTTCCCTTTAGCCATTCTAGTTGTAGATAAAGATTAAAAAACTTTTTCTTTGCAACATTAAACTCTGTGCTTGCTTGTTAGAAGGGAAGTATTTGATATTTAATATTTGGTATATAATTGTACACATTTTACTCCTAATAATTACTTATTTGAATTGGGTCGTTGTGGTTTGAGTACATGTCAAAACTCCTGAATATATTTATATATTCTGTTATCGGCTTTGTGTCCATTGGAAAGTGAAAGTATTTAACTCTCAGCTGAGCTTATTTTACTGCAGCTGAAACTGTGATTGAACATTGACTTTTGAGTCAGAAGGTCAGTCTGTATAATTATCTTCATTAGGCCACTCTATCCTGTAGAGTGGCAGTGCTTTATGGAATAACATGTTTTGATCTCACAGGAAACCACATTTGGATTCTTATAATAATCACACCTATGAGTAGGGTTGGGCGAACGGAACAAAAACAAGTTCTCAGTCTTTTCGGCGACTTTATAAAACATACTGCTGATGGAAAAAATGGAGCAGACAGGGGGAGAGAGAGGCGGGGCTAGCCGGAGTGTCGACCTGAGGTGTAAGTGTGTCAGAGTGTGACAGAGTGTGAGGAGAAGAGAATAACTCCGAGGCGGGTGCAAAGCATACTTAAAAACAATAATAAGAATGTTCGTGGTCATTAAAAACTGCTTTCACATGGTGGTATAATGTGAACATTTGAGATTTTTTTTGCTGGGGGGGGGGGGTTTACAATCACGATGCTGGCTCAACGTTGTGATGTCTGTCAGCCATCGCCGATTGGCCCAACCCTATTATGAGTGGCTGCTTGTGCAACTGACCAGAAATGAAGAGAACCATTTTTAATGTTTGGATGTTTCCATGTGTTGGAAATGTGAATGTGAGAACTCTTTCGGGTGTTATTAGCTATTTATTTCTGCTTTTGTGTTTTAATATGAACAGCTTTATGAAAGTATAACAGAAATGAAAGCCCTCTGTATCCTTTTCACTCCCCTGCTCTACTCCGTCTGACAGAGGATTAAAGAGCTCGTCTTCTGTACGGCAGCTGATGTGTCTTCTCTGTCTAAATCTCAGCCGGCCTGCTCGTCATCCATTTCTATTTCTCCCTCGCACTCTTTTCACACTTTCCTCTTTTGTCTTTCTCCTGCCAATCTATTTGTAATTCGGGGGGGGGGGGTTAAGTGCACACGCTTTCATGTGCCAAGCAAATACATTGGCAAGTGTGTTTATGATGTGCGATTGTACTGAGTATGAGTGACACTAAGAGAGCTGCTGCTGAAGGGCTCATCTTTGCCTCTCTTGCATTATCTAATATTGCATACAGTATATACATGCGTGCTAATGCAGATGACAGATGTTATTTAATTTAGCTTATCTGTAGTTTTAGATCTGTTTACCACATTTATTTTCAGAAGTTTTTATGCTAATATTTGAAATGAAAGAAAGACTTGCTGTCTGACTGGGGTTGGTTATTGTTTGAGTTAATCTTGCTCTTGTTATATTATTTGGGTAAGAAGCTAAAAAAAAATACAGTCTGATAGAAGAACCAGCTTTAAATTCTGCAGATTTAGTCATAGATGTGCTAGCAAGTGTTTTTTTGTATTTAGTATGGATTTGGGCCATCTTGGATGCTCCATTTATTTTATGCTTTCTGCGTTTTCTTCTTTTTTTGCATTTGTTTCCATCTTATATCCTTTCATTTTTCTTACTTGTTTCTTTTACACACACATACAGTAACTTTCTGACAACACCTGAGGCTCTCTCCATGTTCACACGAAGCTCAACCTCCTACTCTCTTCCTATTGGTCACTTTATCCCCCACATAGACACATATGTACACCTTTCACCAACACCTGCAGTCGTCTTTGTGTGTTGCATCAAAGCTCAGCTTCTCTCTCTCTCTCTCTCTCTCTGTCTTTCTCGCTCACACATACACAAACAAACGCACACACTCCCTCTGCACCCCAGCTGCATCCATCTTGTACCCCAAACCAGCCTCTGTCTGTCACACTTCCTCTTTTCAAAGCAGCCATTAACACTTACTGGCTTTTACATGCGTGCGTGTGTGTGCATGCACGTATACAACATGTCTGTGTTGCCCATGCATTTTTTTTAGTGTAGGCAGCTTTTACCTGTGCATGTGTGTCAGTGTAAAGGTGAAGCCCAGCTGCTATAATGTGAAGAGTGTCCTCACTTAGTAGCTGCAGACACACTCCTCCTCCATTTTTCTCCTACAGGTAGACTTTTATATTAGATTATTTAGTTGTGTGTTCTACAGTTATGGGTACGGTTACAAAAATACTGCGTATAACCCCAAAGTTCCCAGAATGTTGAGCGTTTGAGTACAAATATGGCTTGTGTTTAAAATGTATATTTTAATTATCCAGACATATTGAAGGATATACTCAGCTTGAGATTGGCGTGTGTGTGTGTGTGTGTGTGTGTGTGTGTGTGTGTGTGTTGCACACATAGCGGGACACTGCAGTGTGGATCCAGAAGGACAAACACACGTCGGGCACAGCAGCCCATTAATAACAGGAATTACAGTCCAAACTACTTGCGACAGAAATCTGCTGACAGCAAAATGGTCACTGGAGGACAGGAGGGAGGAAGAAGATGTGCATGCGTGTGTGTGTGTGTGTGTGTGTGTGTGTGTGTGTGCGCGTGTGTGCAAGCGTGCGTGTGTTTGAGAGAGAGACAGTGAAAGACAAGGACAGAGATAATGCTTTCAATTACATGCGTTAATAGTGTAAGTTGATAACGTATGAGCAAGAGTGTAATGCAGCCAGAATTTTTATGGAGGCACCAATTTCACTGTAACAAGTCCTGATTGTAAATCAATAGAGCACACAGGTAATAGCGTCAGTATCACCAGCTGGACGATCACTGCATTTTTAATGACATTGCCCACTTGTGTATGTGTGTATGCAGATGGGGGAAAGCACCTGCTCACAAATTGGACTTGGTTTCAAGAAGAGCGTATATTTTCACTCCTCAGATCCAAAACAGCAGCCCGGCATTTGCAGTAGTGCATCATCAAGGTGTTCTGTGGGGAGAATGTGTCATTGTACAGTATGTGAAGACGTTTTCTTGGTTTTGCTGGCCCACTGATTTGCCATCTTTTGGGTAAATAAGAATTACAGAGGAGCGCGATTTATCAGAGATGTTAGAAATAAATACACTGTATGGACAGTAGTACTGGGACACCTACGCATTACTTTTGTGACAACCCATTTTAAACCCATAGGCATTAATATAGAGTTGGTCCCCACGTTGCAGCTATAACCGCTCCCAGTCTTTTGGGAAGGTTTTCTACAGGATTTTGGAGTTTGTCTGTGGGAACTGTTTCCCATTCATCCAGAAGAGCATTTATAAGGTCAGACAGAGATGTTGGACATGAGGGCCTGGCTCGCAATCTCTGTTCTAGTTTATCCCAAAGATTTAGGATAGGGTTGAAAAATCAGGGATCTGTGTGGGCCAGTCAAGTTCTTCCAGACCAAACTGGGCTTTATGAATGGGGGCATTGTCATACTGAAAGAGGAAAAGGCCAAACAGAGACCACTGGAAGAACTATGGTGGTCTGAAATTGTCCCTTAACAAGATTTCCCTTTAACAAAGAACAAACCATGAAAAAACAAACCCTCTAAAAAGTCTTTTGTCTACATAATGTTGCTAAGTTTAGGTATTTTACAGGAAATAAGTTAGGTTTTTGTTTGCTGTCATGGCAGCATTTGTTGTCATAATAACACAGAGGTGACAGTTTGTCCTGACTAACAGCGCTGGATGCAACAGGCCGGTAACTTGCTTTTGTTTACTGTTGCTTATTCTGGATGTTTTTGTGATGGCAGTGGAGAAATTGCAGGCCTCAGAACAAGTGGTCCAGCTCCGCTGTTTTTGTTGTTTTTGAAACATTGACATCACATCTTTTGTGTTTGGAGTATCGGAGATAAACCCTCAAAAGCCAAAGTGAATGGACAGAGAGAAGGGATTTACACCACAATCCCAACCACCTACGAAAGTGGCTTACATTTGTCCTGAAAGAGCTGCACAACGTGTATTTTCGTTATGACTTAAAGAAAATCCAAACTATATCTGATGTCCAGTGAAATCAGATTCAACGTCGTCTTGAATGGAGCTTAAAATCCACACATACAGATTACATCCTCATAATCGCAGACAGCTAGAGAAAAAAAGAGATGAGAACAGCTAAAAATGTGAGATTTCACCTCACAATTTCCAATCAACTCCCATTTTGCCCTTCAAATCAATCATTCTGAATCAGACGAAGGTGCGAAGACAACCTGAGATTGTGAAAAGTGACCCAAGAGAAATCACCACAGACCACAGGCCTCTCCCTCGCTTCAAGAGAAACTTTTATTTTGCCATTATGCAGCAGCTCCCTCATATGCAGCATAATATGAAACCCTCATTATGAAGCTGCTTCGGAGGAGGGACAAAAAGAAGAATTCAAGAGAATAAAATGTAAATGCGGGTTGTGAGGCATTTGTTGTAATCTTCTTTTCCTCCGGTTTCCTACAGCTGCTGTTTCCTGTATGTGTCTCCCCAAGACTCCCTCTAATCTGTCACAAGCAAAAAAAATAATTATAGCATTCTTTTGTAAGCTTATTAAAATTGTGCTCTTCATCCCACCACCTTTTCTCTTTGCCCTTTTTTTCTTTTTTCTTCTCCTCGTTTTGTTTTTCCTCTTCATCATTCTCTTACCTTTTTCTTTGCAACTTTCCTCCCTTCCTGTTTCTGTCCATTTCCACCCAACTACTTACACTATTATTTTTCTTCCTTCTCTTTCTCTCCATTTTTTTGTTATCTTAAAACTCTTTCTTCCTTCCTTCTTCCTCCCCTTCCCTCCTTCCCTCTCTCCTCCAGGCCATTGATAAGTACTGCAGGGTGAGCGGAGGTTTCTCGGGGGTGAAGGACGTCTACTCCTCCAACCCGACCTACGACGACGTGCAGCAGAGCTTCTTCCTGGCCGAGACGCTCAAGTAAGCCAACACTAATAGGTTGATTAATTGGTTTGATCTATAAATTCAGTACGTGTGTTGATTAATTAATCACTTTTGGGATTAATGCAATCATTTGGTGGGTGGGGTGGTGGGTTGGCTGATTGAAAGGGCTTGTCAGGGGAAAGTGATTGCAACAATTACGTGGTCATATTTTATAAAAGAAAATAAACGGAAAAATTGAGCAGGAAAATCCTCTGCAAACATAAAAGCAGCAGCATGTCAGTCGCAGACCTTCGTCGAGCAGCTGCTGTGTCAGAAATACAGCAGAAGAGCAGTTCATCAACAGCTCACTGGCTGCTCCTTCTCGTTCCATTACTCCCTGCAACATTTTGCGAGTTAAATGCTTTTAATGAGAGCTGGCAGCTATAAATGTTTGGCTTGTTTGCTAGAAGAGTGAAAATTAAACAGTAACACTGGATTATATACATGCACAGTTTCCTGTGAATCGTGCAAAAGCAATGTACTAATTTACTACTGCAGAACTACTTAGTGACATGTGATGAGCCGTTTTCAGTCCAACACTGGCATGTGTTGTTATTTCTTTCCATTTTGTACTATAATAAAGGCTGATTAATGCAAAGGGCAGCTCTGATGATTGATGAAGGGAGCCTACAGACTGTGAGCCAGAGGGGAAAGTGAAGCCTAGTGTGGCTCTCTGTTTCCCTCTGCTGGCAGCTCTTTGAATATCTTTATCTCCTCCTGGCATAACTGTACATGTAAACTGAGCAGATGAAATTAAGTGTACAAGGTTGTTACTGTCAATCAAACAGTGCAGCAGGTCAAAGACAATTATAAAACAGAGCATACTGGGCTTATTGGCTGCTCTGTCTACCCTTGTGTTAGCAGGAAGCTACTTATCAGCTCCATTTTTAACTTGAACATGTCTGAAATTAACACCCACAAAGCGTTTAATTCCAGTGAAATTTGTCTTTGGTGTAAAAGTCGTTAAAGGTCACTCGCCACACAAGCCTGGTAACTTTCTGAGATGATGACATTTGAATGCCTCGGTGTTATGTGGCCTTTGGTGTCTGTCTTTTTCTCAGTCTTTGTCCCTGCTGGCTGCGAGCCAATCGCATCAAAGCAATACATCAGCTCTGGGTTAAAACAGGCTGCTGATTGGCATCCGAACTTCTGTTGATCTGCTGTGTGGATCGTGAGTTATACTTGATCACTTGATGACTATTGTTAAAGTGTTAAACTTAGTAACTTAAGCGGTGTGTGTTAAGATTTATTTTAATGTTCATTAGAATTCTTAAAGAAATGCAAGTCAAGAGATCTTGTTTTAAATTAAAGCTCTAAATCTTACACAAACACACTGTAAGAGACTAATTGCAGATTATCGATAAGTGTACATATGATATAATTTACATGGTTCATTGATGTTAAGGAATAAGAAGGAATATTTACAGTATTGCAATAAGTTAATTGTTTGATTTCGTGCTCTTAAAATGTGGATAATTTGCATAAAAATCAAATTTATATCACATTGGTAATATATAGGGAATAGACGACTATGATTGTCGCTTCCTCTTAACTGCATAAACCTTTAATTGCCTGGGGAGTCAAGCAAACAGAAAGCGGAGCCACACAGTTTTTTAAACTCCCTCTTTTTCTCACATTAATCAATCAACTCTTGTTCCTGTTATCTTCCTGTACTGATGTTGTCTTGTATCTAACGGATACATTTTTACCGAGTGGTCCTGTGGATTTATTGATATGATATGGGCGAGGGGAATAGTTAAGAGAGTCAAGCTAAGCAAATCTCCTTTTTGTGTACATGTTTCATTTTCATTAAATTACATTTATTCATTTAGCTGACGCGTTTTATCCAAAGCAACTTATAATTGCTATATATGTCAGAGATCGCACACCTCTGGAGCAACTAGGAGTTAAGCGTCTTGCTCAGAGACACATTGGTGGATGTGTCACAGTGGGAATTGAACCCCGGTCTCTCACACCAAAGCTGAAAATGTGTCAGCCTCCTGTCAACTCTAATTAGACTAATCACACACATCGCAATTACACAGCAAAGGTGGAGCAGTGTTCCCTATTTGGACCGTTTTTTCTCTGTGACCAAGCAGAGCCAAACTGGAATCAGGAAATAAAAGATTAAAACATAGAACAACAACATAGAAGCAACAATTATTTATACCTATACTACAAATTCAGGGTTTTAAGTGTCGTGTACCTGTAAGCTGACACATGATGTAATCCACTTCTTTCTTCTTCTTCTCCTCTTTCCTTACCCTCACCACTGTTTCCTCCCTCCGTTAACCCCCACACATCCCTCCCACCACCTACCCCTCCTCAGGTATCTGTACCTGTTGTTCTCCAGCGACGACCTGATGCCGTTGGAGAGTTGGGTCTTTAACACGGAGGCTCACCCACTTCCTGTCCTCCACCTGGGCAACATCACCCTGCCTGGCAGCGAGCCGGCTCAGCGGTAGACAGACAAAGCCCTCTTCCTTCACTGCAGCACCAGGGGGCGCCACCTGTCTGCCCGCCTGCCTGCCTGCCCGCCCACCATCACTGGACAAACTTACATTCAGCTCTACAGACTTTCAACTGCTTTTGGACTGCAGACATCAACCAGAGGACACGAGGAGAGAGCCTCCCGCACAGACCACTACAGCGTGGGGAGGACTCAGTCTCCCTCTCTTCTTCTACGTTTTACTCTTTGACTCTGTGTTATTCTCTCTGTCTTCTCTGCTTAAATCAGAAAGATGGTGGGTTTGCTGCTCAGCCTCACGACTGGCTTGAATCGACTCTTTTCTCTGAAGAACCGAGCTCCAAAAACGGAGGCTTGATTTCGCTTTTCTTTTTTTTTTTTTTTGTTATTATTATTTTTAGTGTTAATTTGAGATTTGACCAAACTGTCCTCCCATACAGACTCAAGCTGAGGCTCTGAGCATGCATATGGGATTTTGTGAAGGATCACACAGCCTGTTTGACACTAAACTGATGAACGTGTCACTTTTCCAGGCAGACAAACTTGAGGACTTTACAGGGTCTGTTGATAAGGTGTGTTTTGTTTTTTTTTGTTTGTTTATTTGGACAAATTGTTAATGGGGACACAGGGTTGAATCAAAGCTCTTCGCTTCTCTCTGACCCAACCCCTCCCCACTCCACTTCCTGTTTAATCTCCATCAGACGAACTTTGACCTGGAACTGTCGCATCATCAATGCGAGGGCCGGTTGTGGCAACAGTTCCCCACCTCCTCCCTCTAATCCTCCTTTTTCAGAAAAGTGGACCATTGTGAGTGGAACAGTAACTACAGGCGGACAGCAGCAGGCCTCCCCATCTTCACCACTCCCCACCTCCACATCTTTCCAGTTTCTCTCTCCAGTTAGAGACGTCACAGGGCCACTACTTTCCCCCCTAAAACATTCTGCTGCTACTCGTTTGGATGCTGCTTTTTTTATCTCGAACCTTTTATTCTGATCACACCATTACATCACAGCGTTTCTCTCCAGCTTCATCAACCCTTCTTTTTCCACCTTTTCACAAATCACTCCAAATCATGTTCATATCATACATTTTGAGATGAGGCTAGAACCCAACCATGCTTATGTATGAGAGTGTGTGTGTGTGGCGGTTAAAATACCTCTGCAGTAAATCACTTATTTGGGCGCTTTGAAGAGGAGATAGCGCTGAAAGAGCTAAATAAATGAGAACCCTCCTACTGAGCTCCCATGCCACATTTTCTCAGTTCAGCCCCATATCACCAGTTGGACCACCTAACCTGCAAATTGCATGTTCTCAAAAGTTCTCCATCATTTGTCTTTACCACTTTTTTCCCCCCACAATCCCACTGTCTTATTTTCTTAATTTTTTCATACCTTCTCCTCTCTCCTCCATTTTTACTGCTACCTCTCCGGTCCATAATAAAAAAGTCCAAAAACCTGGAGCCCTTCGTTCTCAGGGTTCCCAAATGACTCTGAAAAGTATGAAACCATAATTTCATAATGTCCCTGTTTTGTATAATCTCACAAAATCTCCATTGCTTTCGGAATCATAATAATCATACTGTACAGATTGATTAGACCCTGTTTAGACCCTGTTCATCATGTGCTACTGCCAAATGGCAACACCATATCATCAAACATCCATTTCAACATCAGAAATTCTGAAATAGAGCAAATCAAGGACTTGTTTGGCTGGTTTGTGTACAATTTCAAATGCACATCCTTTGCAGAGTCGCTATAATTTCTCCTCTCTGTAAAGGTCTCAGAAGATTCCACTCACTCCTTATGGTCCAATTTATCAAGAGCTTGGCCTTGTTGAGAGAGGTCAGACCCCGCCACACACCACGCTATCTGCTCAGTTACCAGCTTGCTTCTGCCTGCAGTTATCCCTCCAGACTCAACTCTCTCTGTTACTGCCGAAGCAGCTTGAGGGATTTACTGCGCTGTTTGCTCAGATAATAGATAATACAGTCTATTAAAAAAAATAATACGTCAGCAAACAACCAAAACAGCTCGACTCTGAAACAGGCCTCTGTAGTGACCTACTGTATCAAGCAGCTACTTTAAGACTCTGTGAAAGACGCTGGACAACTCTGTGAAAGACGCTGGACAATATTTTTATGCTAAAATCTACACAGACTCATAGCCCAAAGTGGGGATATATACCAACCCAAACACAAACCTCAACACATATCATTTAATCCCCTAGAATAAGGGAGTATTTTGCGTGTGTTTGCAGTGTACAAGAGTCAGATCTGCTGTTATTTGTGCTTGATGTTAAATTTGAAATGAAATTTTGCAATGAAATTTTGCATTCAGATTTCTTTAAAGTGAATATTAATGATGCAGATTTCACACGTGACAACCATTTTTAGAAGCTGTACGGATGTGCTCTTTCAAAATATGTTTTGATAGTACAGCGTCAGATGGCACATTGAAATGAAAAGTGCAGCCGTGACCTCTGTGAGTCACGTTAAGTTCTGTAGCTGAACGGCAAGAAATACAAACCAGCAGGGAGACGAGATGTTGGGGGGAAAACAAATAATACGTTAATGAAAGCAACCAGCGTACAGATGGTTTCAGGAGAACACAGCAGTAGTGAGTCAGGCCGCAGGAGTCCTGTTGAGTCTAAATAATCCAATATTACAGCAAAAATTTATTTTTAGAAGCCAACTTTCATCAGCCAAAGGCTTTTAATATTTTTTGTTGAGTCTGTCTGGTCCATTCTCCATGTTGGAAGGGATTCAACCATGATTTTTTAGTTCTTAAGACAAAAGGTCAATTAGTTTATAAAAATACAGACAGTAGGCTTAATGATGGGCTCAGCAAACTTGTGCTATGACTGTGTGTGTGACTGAGAGAGTTAGTGTATTTCATATGTTCTGATTTTCTGTGAGCTCATTAATAAGCCTGTTGGCTACCAGTTTGTGTGACACGAATCTGCCATTTGTCCAAACCCTTTGTATCAATAGACTGGTTTAGGTAAGAGAGGAAACAGAGCAGGTTTCACTACTGGAGATGATGCTTCTGCAGGCGTTCAAGCTGACAAGTAGGACTAAACCAGGAAGATTTGTTTCCTTGTGTTGTGTTTGTTTCTGACTAACTGATTCTTTTCAAGCCTTATTGTCAAATGTGACACCTTGGCCAATACTGTGCTCTTTCACGTTCTTTGCTTTGTGTTTTGTAATTCGTCTTCATGATATAAATTCCCTCTTATTGTTTTTGTCTGCACAAACATTGTCTGTCCTCTGACGCGCACATAGATGCAGAACTGTGATGGAGGAAAAGCAAAGCTGACAGCGGACTTGACACTATGCTACATTTTGTTTACTGCCCAACCACATTGATTAAAGGTTCTCTAAAAATGTATCAATATGCTGACCTACTAATATCTGACTGTATCTCCACGTGCCCTCCTGAGAAAACACAGAAAATGAATTTTTTAACAGAAACTGAATTTGCTGTTGTTTGCCCGTTCTACAGGAGGTCAGCTGCTCATCTATCAATGAAGCCATACTGTGTATGTAGTTTGAAACAGTACTGCTGAAACAACAGTTTCTATTCAGTTTTTAGCTGTAGGTGATGATTAGCTTCCCTGACTGTAGAAATGGAAATAGGCAGCAGGGACTAAATGGAGTGATTAGAGACATTTGAAGCCATAGTTGTTGGCAACAATGCTCTTTACCTTTGCCTCAAATTGCTGCTAATCTCAAGTGAGTACAAAATGTTGACAGGCTAACACAAAGACATAGTAAATGCTTTAAAGGATAAGGTTGGAGATATTCTATTTATTGTCAACAAATCCTATGGAAAGACCAAAAAACAATGAGTTGATCCCAATAGCCTGATAATAAGCCTGATCTATGTCATTGTACACAGCTTCACTGTTGTCCAAAAATTCTTAAAAATAAATGAGCTGCATCATCCATTACCACGAACATACACAAGCTTATTTTGACTAAATCCCACATACACCATCCTGCTCACTAGAGCACCAAATGTGTATTAATCTGCATCTGAATAGTCCCCAACAAAAGCACTATTTCTTCCCGTTTGAGGAGCGTTTGTTGGTTTTGGTCTTATCATGGAATTGAATGACAATAATACGGATAAAAATAAGAAATATAAATCTCTAAAATAATCTGCCTTATACTTTTAACATCTTTGGAAACTGTAATTTCCTGATTTCATAAATATATAGGTTCTGATTTGTGAAAACAGTGTAGCTAGCAGACATTTTAGAAATATCTCTTATTATCAAATGTTGGTTGGGTTTAAGAGAGCAAATTGGCTTTGACCAAACTTCTGGCTAATGTTCAGGTCAATGTTGGGCTGATTTAATCAAGCCGCCTTTTTTTTTTTTTTTTTATAAATGAAACAAAGTTTTTGGTTTAAAGTTTAGGGGAAACTCTCTCAACACTCTACAGCGTCAATCCGTGTACATAAGAGATATTTCTCTGGCCAGTCCCCCATTCAACTCATTTTATCCCCTCCATCAGCCATCCAGTATTATTTCCACCTCTCTTTCATCTGAACTCTGGTGCCGGTCAACCTCAACAGTCCCTTACATTACAGTCTTGGCTCTCAGCCTCTATCCCCCAGTCTCTGACATCACCCTGCCATCATGCTTACGTCATCACCACCAATATCTGTTAGGGAGGAAGCCCAGGCGAAAACTGGGTGGCCATCGAGTCGCTGGGAGCGACGTTGATTTTGAAAATTGAGTGTTCTGTATTTGTATTTTTACTGAACTAAAAAATAAATAAAATGAAAGTATCTGTAAATATGTTTAAAATTGAGACACAAATTCAATAAAGATGTTATGAAAAGTGATCAGAAACGAAGAGTACACTGTGTTTTGTTTGTTTTGAGCTTTAACATATGCTTTGTGTAGCAGTTGCTGTGACAGATTTTAAAGTGGACAGTGTTTGTTGCTGTGGTTTGTTACAAACCTAAAAGTTGAGCATGAATCTTGAAATTTTTGTACACACGTTCATGTACACTTCAGGAATTAATTTAATCACTAATACAAACTCCTGACTTTTCATATAGCGACATCATCAGGCCAATATTTGTACTTGTCCAACATTGTGGTTTATGAGTAAATCCAAAAACGAACAGTGTTCCCATCAGCCTCAGCTGTACTTGATGGTCAATGGACAGATGGTGAACATGGTAAACCTTATACCTGCTGGGCATCAGCATGCTAACATTAGCATTTAGCTGAAAGTGCCGCACAGAGTATGCAGCATGGCTGTAGACTCTTGTTGTTTAAAATAATTTGAATCTTTGAATTTTAATAAACACTTATTGAGTCATTGGCTGACTGCAGCAGCTCATCTGGGTCAAATAAGGTGAACTTACTGAGAGATTGCAGTGATTCTTTAGTGACTGGGACCAATGAGAACCAGAGTCCAGCTACTAAAGTCCAACTGAAACTGCTTGAGTCCGACGATCCTAAAAAAAAGACTCCAAACAAAAAAATTTCACCACTTAACCAAAAAAACTTGATTGAACTTTGACCCATGTGTAAGATAAATGCAATGTTGTACATCATTCTGAATTAAAGAGGTGTTCTCTGTCAGCGCTGTTCAGATGTGTTTGAGAAAACAAATGTGTTGCGGTTTATGCTGCTCAGCCTGCTGTCACATCCCTCCAGGATGCTGGCAGAGAGCCACTCGACACTTTGGACAAACACACAGTAGCTTCTTCCAGGTTGGCAGCGCACATACTAATAAGCACCTTTCTTTGTGGAATGGTTTTTACACAGAGACTGCATCCGTTCAAGTTCGTCTCAATTCTATGGTTCTCCCTCAGCGCACAAAACTTTCCCATTTAAGTGAACACAAGGTATCATTTACTTTTTGTGCTCATATTTGTACTCTATACTTATCCTGAGGTGTTGAAGCGCACCTGTGGACCACAACAAACAAACAACTAGCACAGTATGGGCTTTCCTCCATCTGGTCCATTCTGCCTTTCACTTCCTGTCATCGGAATCACATGAACATCATACTGTAGCGCGCTTAGCTAATAGAGAGTGAGTGAGTTTCAGCTCAGAGAGGCTTTGCATCTAAAATTCTAGAAAACAGAAAACAAAAGCAACCAATACAAATATGGTAATCCATTAATCAGTTAAATATCATCAGCAATATATTGATAACTTCCATTTAGCCAAAGAATTGACTTTATACCTCTGGATTCACGTATTCACGTACGTTCAAGTATTCACTACATAAACTCAGCAAAAAAAGACACGCCCCTTTTTCAGGATACTGTATTTTAAAGACAATTCTGTAAAAATCCAAATGACTTTACAGCTCTTCATTGTAAAGGGTGTAAACACTGTTTTTCATGCTTTAGACACTAACAACATACAGACTGTAGGCAATTCTGTAGGCAAGGTCACAGTTTTAAAAACTTTGAACACTAAAGAGACCTT